CGCAGGCTCCATCACCAGGAGCTGACAACATCAGCTTTCCCTTGTCAACGTCTTCCCTACGTGGTCCCGAGTCTCTGGGTGTGCACAAAGAGCTAAGCACAAGGTAGGGTCACGCACAGCTCGCAGGCAGGCGCGGCGGGGTGCAGAGAGCTGGGCCCTGGTAGGCAGGTCCGGCCTCCATCCAGCACGGCGGACTCCCGTGGCCCTGGATGAAGCTGCGCCTCGCCGAGCTTCCGTCTCCCGAGCTGGGAAATGTGTTAAGTACACCTGCCACATCGGGTTGTGGCGGGGGAGGGGCAGGTGCCCGCCCCAGGCAGGCCCAGAGATAATGGGCCATCTCCTAGAGAAGGGGGCACGGACCTCCCTTTTCTTTCTTGGGGACCATTCTTGGATTTCATCTGAACTGGGCTGAGAGGAAGAGGAGGACCCTCACCCTTGCAAACCTGGAGCCCTGTGTGTTGATTGGTGGCCCAGGGTAGGTGCAGGGTGGACAGGCAGTGTCGCCCCGGCCGCGTGCGGGTGGTCGCCTCTGGGGACCTCGCTGTTTGCACCTGAGAAAGGAAGAGGGACAACTTCAAGGCGTTAGCTGGCCAGTGTTACCAGCTGCCTTCTCAAAGCAATATTAGTGATGGAAGCATTAGCAGTTAATAACAGTGTCAGGAGAACAGATCGAGCTCCTGCATTCTGTTTTAAACATGTTTTTGCTGACGATTTTTAGTTTATTTGTGTCATTATTGATTGAGGAAGGAAAAGAAGTGATTTTTCCTAACTCCAAGAGGATCAACAGTTCTTATATTGGTTGATTTCATTATAACAAGATCAATACAGTCTGTGTTAGTGGATTACATATTTTAAAACTCCATTTCCTATAAGCAGCATACAGTGAGTAATAGAATTTTCTTTAACAAACATGTAGACAAGCGAGATAGTCATAAGGTTAAAGGTTACGTAGCAGCTAACTGTGTGCTTCGCCAGGAGAGGAGCGTCACCAGGAGAGGCCTGACCAACAGTCTGCTCTGTTTATGAAAGGTCCGAGGAGCAACAGCTCCGCACGCAAGGACCTTCACCCCCAGCGAGGCCGCGGTTCCTGTTCAAGACCGTTTCCGATAAATGGTTCCCAGCCTCTATCCCTATCTCCTTGGCAAGACGCACAGGCCAGCCCACAGCATTTTGTTCTCATGGCCTCGCAACAAAAACTCCAAGTCACCCACCTCTCAAGGTTCCTGCTGCCCAGAACCCGCATCCCTCAGCTTCAGCTTTTAGTGTAACTGAGGATGAATTCAGTCATTCCGGTTCAATTTTCTCAAATGACAATAGCTCCCTTCTGTAGCTTGCTGTCTGCCTTGCCATGTGGAGTGCTTTGTGTACCTGCTGCGTGTGCCCTTGGACAGCCTTGTGTTCCTGAGGGCGTGCGTGCGACCCCGCGGCGACGGGGCATGCCCGGGGCCCATCCACTGGAAGTGGCAGAGCTGGGGTGAGACCGGGTCCCTGGGATGCTCAGCTGTTCTGCTGACCGCCTCCCGCTGCCGAGAACATGCCGACGAGGTGGCTGGGAGCCTGGTTTCCGAGCCTCGTCTTGTCCGAGGCTGCTTCACCAAACAGAAATTCCCCCTTAGTCTTTCCCGTTGGGTATCTTAGTCTTTAACAATTAAAAAATCTTTTAGTTTTGAATTTTTTTAACAAAGGAATATAGGAAAGGCTTAGTTGTTATACGGTAAGTGGGAATAGGGAAAATATATAAACTCTAGCTTGTCTTCTAACTGGAAAATTTTAGTTCTGAAAAGACATAGACTCTCTCAATCTCCTTAGAGGGTTGAGGAAGAATAACATATTCAGAAATACTTTTTTTTTAACCACCAAAAGCTCAATCATCATCTTTTAGCAACTCAGCTCTCACTTTCCCTCCCGTCTCCCCCCCATTGTTGGCAAGACGGTGTCACTGCACTTTTTGAAAACCTAGGCGAGTTCACTGCCGTTTCTGAAACAAGCATATGTTCTGTGCTGTGCTCCAAGAGAGAGGGAGACATTTTTCTCCAGACAGACGAGCTTGTTTTTCCTTTTGGACTCGGGATTGGCAGTGAGTCCCAGTCGAGCAAGAAGTCGGCAGTAGGCACCGTCGTCTCCATCAGGAGAAAAGACTCAGCCTGCGGGGGCCTTCTTGGTGCGGTGCAGGCTGCCCTGGCGTCTGAGAGATCCTGTTCCACCCAGAGGACGTGACTGGGGCCTGCCCTCAGCCCCCAGTGGGGTCCCCCGGCCACCAGGCAGGAGCCAGTGTCTTCAGACCTGTGCTGCAGGCCAGAGGCCCGACCTGGATGCCCTGTGGTGCTGCCCCCAGTCCCGGATGGGCGGGCGAGTGGAGACGGAAGGGAGGTGCCCGCCTGCTCCTCCTCCCCGGGATGGGGACTTGCTAACTGAGGACATCATGGTTGGGTCCTGACTACCCTCTTGGGTTCCAGACGGGCTTCAGGAAGGAAAAGGATCAGCTCGAGGAATACCAGCTTCCCAACCAGATCAGTTAATTGCTGCTTCCCTAATTACAGGGATGGAGCACTCGCCCACCCCAAGTCTGCTCATCTCCCGTGTCTTTCTAGAATCCTTCATTTTTAGAAAGCAGGGTTACAAAAACATTAGTGCAATTTAAAGTCACTTCATGCTGGCGAATCTCTTCCCAGCCTTTGCCCACGTCAATCCTGCGTAGTCCTCTTGTAATTCAGAAACAGGCGTCAGGCATTGTCCATCGCCCACGGAGCGCTGCCTCTGATTCCAGTGTCACACGGCTTTTCACCGTCCCGCCAGGCAGGGCGCTGTGTTCGCCTCCGCCGCCCCTGGGGGGTGGGGGTGGGGGCAGCAACTGGGCTGCTGGGTGCGGTCCCTCACCGGTACCAGTGACAGGCCGCGACGTGGCCAGCTCCCGACGACACGGCTGACCCGGGATGGCCATGAGCACCTTTGCACATTGCATTTTGTTGCAGAATCGTCAAGGGGCTTGTTAGGCTTAAAGAGGTATAGTCTTCATTTGTAAAAGGTCAAGTGTTTCCAAAATTGTCTCTGATGACAAGTGGCTGCCAATTGTCGGCCTCTGGAAGATATTAGGAAAAAGTCAACACACTTATTCATTCATTAAGGCGAAGGTGAGGCTTTAGCAGAGAACGAGGGAAACTGCTTTCGAAAAAATTGGTCCTACCAAAAGAACGTTAGGAAAACATGTTTTTAATTGTTCGCATCGTTCTGTAATTTTCGTTGCCAAACTCGATGTAAAGTGTCACCTATTAAAAACTCTGATACCTGCACCCTTAACATGGGAACAGCATTTTTCCAATCAGCTTTAAAATACTTGCAATGAAAATTTCAATGGATTTGGAATGGGGTTGTTCAGTTGCAGGAGCCAGTATTGGACACCGGGGGAGGGGCCTTTTAGAGCTACATGTTCGCACACTGCTCACCCCCGTCCACGCGCTTCTGGAAGGGGCTTTGTGGCTCGGACAGACTTCAGGGAATAAACAGAGGCTGGAACCGGGCTACTTTCAAATCACTGACTGACAAAGAAGTTCCTTGCATTGAAAGAAAGGGAAGTATAGTCAGTCCTGTCATTCTTACTGAAAATATTAGGACTCATTAATGATTTCAGAGCAGTTTGTTGATCCTCTTCGTAAATGGCATGTTGATATATTTAAAAATACTGGTTATTTTCTCCTTGTCTCATCCTTTAAAGTAGTCTGTTTTTGGTATTTGTTGTAATGTTCAGAGTACGTTGTATCACTAATGAATAAGCGTGCAGAGGTTGGGCGGGTGAGCTCCCGGCTTCTCACGGATGGGGCACATGGTCAGCCAGCCCCGAGACCCATCCAGGTCAGGGTACCGGTCAGTGGCTCTCGTGTCCTTCCCTGGTGATGTGGTGGGACATTCCGCCAGGTGTGTGGGGTCCTGAACACGAAGCAGGGCGGCCTTCAGGAAGTGCTTTCTGTAAGAGGAAGTGACACGGGAGAGGTCGGGGTTCTTGGCCACCAGCTTCTTGTGCCCCTCACTGCCCCCTGCCTCAGTCCCCTGGGGGGCTTCCCATGGGCCAGCGGCAGTCAGGCATGTCCCTTGTGGCCAGGAGAGCCGTTGCCGGCTTCTCTGCAGGAAGCCGCCAGGCTGGCGTGACCTGGTGTGGTGGCCGGAGCCTGGGGACATGCACAGAGGCAGCCCTCAGACTCTCTGTGTTGAGAACGGCCCCCACGCCAGCCCGGTTCCTCACTGCGCTTTTGGGGGGTTGAATTGGACCCATGAGAACGACAGCCAGTGCTCGGGTGCGAGATGCGACTGTGAAGACGGAGGAGCGCTGGCCTGGATTCCCCGAGACCAGCTCAGGGCACACGGACACTTGCACAAGGCATGTAAGTGCTTGATGCCCGTCTGATGGCAGATACATAAGGACACGGACGGACTTGAGTCCTGCAGAACCGGTGGGACTCTGAGGGTCCATACCACCTGTGTGTCGGGAGTTTGGGCCAATGTGATGTCACACTCTCCTTTGTCACCAGAGTCTCCTGCCACCCCCACTCCAGGCGCAGTACCAAATCCTTCGTGGGTGATTAAGGTTGTGATTGTAAGATGGCTGGTCCTACAAAGACCATTCTGGAGGCCCCTGGTTTCCTTCAGACTTGCAGACCCCAGGAAGCGACTCTGCTGTGTGAGCTGTGCAGCTTGGCCATGTTGCTCAGCCTCCCCAGTGTGGGGTGTTTCTGTTGTGAAGTGGGTCAGAGCGCACAGAAGGCTGCGTTCAAGGATCCAGCCGCTAGTTTAGCCCCGGGGAGGGGGTCCCGCTAATCAGGGCCCAGGGGCCGAGAGTGAGGCCAGAGTTGCTGCTGCCGCTCTTGTTTCCAGGGTGTCTTCCCTGGCCGCCTCGGGCCCAGGTGGGCAGTGTTGGCCTGTAGCTCCATCCCAGGTGGCGTCTTTGTCTTAAAGATACTTATTTTGTGATCTGAGTATTTTTCTCTCTTCTCTTTTTTGTGGTGTAGGAACCCAGGTATTCAGCGGTCAGAGTAACTTCAGAGTCACTACCTTGAAATTTCATCCGAAAGACCACAACCTTTTTGTGTGTGGGGGCTTCAGCTCTGAGGTCAAAGCCTGGGATGTGAGGGCCGGCAAGGTAAGCCCGTCTTCTTCTCCTGGCCTTCCCTCGGAGAGCCTGCCATGGCGATTTTAATGGCTGGGGGCAGGTCCACACCTCCAGCTAGGATGCTTCAGATGGATTAAATACCACTACTTTTTAATCAGTGCTAAGCATAATTTTTAGATGTTTTGAGAAACAATTTTGAGTTGTTAGACTATTAAAACACCATCAGTGCCATTCTGTACAGTATAGTACCAACAATATTTATTGAACAGCTACTATGTGCAAATGCTTCCAGATAATATAAAATGAATGAACCTCAAGGGAATTAATGTGTGATACAGATAACTGATGCGGATGAGTGTGTGTGTGTGTGTGAGAGAGAGAGAGAGAGAGAGAGAGAGAGAGAGAGAATGTGGGCGAGAGAGGGAGGGAGACAGAGAGAGGCCAGCATTCAGAGGCAGGGAGTGCTTTCAGCTTGCTGTGAGGAAGGCTTCTTCGAGGAGACTGTGTTCCTTTTGGGGCTTAAAGGCTGCTTACCATCAGTCCCCCAGGGTAATGATCTCCACTCCCACCCTGCACACAGCCTGCTGCTCCTGTCCCCTTCACCAAGCTAATAAGGGCAGCCCTATCCCTTCTAGTCGTTCGGGCCAGAACCATCAGAATCACCCTGTCTCTGCCTTTCTGTACCCCTAAACCCAACCTGCCAGGAGATCTGGTCATGAGTCTGGATTAAGCTGCTATTGCCTCCCACTGGTATCATTGTAGAGGCGTTCTGTCTGGTGTCTCTTCCCCTCTATGCCCCTTGCAGTTTGTTCTCAACAACTGGAGGCCAGAGTGGTCTGTGACAGTGTATGCCTAATATGTAGCCCGTCTGCTCAGAGCCCTCAGGCTCAGGTCTTACTCACAGTGAAAGTCAGTGTCCCTGCTGTGGCCCACTGGCCTGCATGATCTTCTCATCCCCACTAGCTTCCTTGCCTTTCCTAGAACACACCAGCACATTCCAGCCTCAGGGCCTTTGTACTTGCTGCTCCTTTTGCCTGGAATGTTTTTTCTCCCAGTGTTCTGCTGGAGGCTCATGCCCTCCCTTCTGCAGGGTTCTACTCAAATGCCACTTCTCCAGGGAGGCCATCCCTGACCACCATGCCAGCTGCCCCCCGGCATTCAGTAGTCTCCTTTGCACTTATCATCACCTGGTTTTACATGTTCATTTATTTGCCTGTCTCCTTCCATCTATATATATCAGTGGTTCTCAACCTTCCTAATGCCGCGACCCTTTAATACAGTTCCTCATGTTGTGGTGTGTAATTATATATGTGTTTTCTGATGGTCTTAGGCGACCTCTGTGAAAGGGTCGTTCGACCCCAAAGGGGTCGCGACCCACAGGTTGAGAACCGCTGATATATATAAAAGGCTAAGTGCCCATCCGACCTGTAGCCATGATGTGCACTGACCACCAGGGAGCAGACGCTCAACACAGGAGCTGTCATGACGCACACTGGCCATTTAAAAATAAACAGCACCACAGACCTGGCACTGACAAACCAACACTTGGTTTCCCCCAAGTGGGACACAGGCCCTGCCACCACCCCGGAGTGACACCCCACCAAATCACAGCCAATGCTGCCAAGACTCCATGGTGCAAAATGCGACCCACAGCCCAGCGCAGCCCAGAAATGGTCGCTGTGGACACCAGGTAATGACGTTGCATAGCAACGCCCAGCTTCCTCTCCCTAGTGGCTAACCTCCTTAGAGTTTCTTCACCCCAGGAACATGACTTGCTTTATAGCCAGGTGTAAACATTTTACACTTTAACCAAATGTTTGTGAAGTGTTTTCACATGCCTCATCTCATTTGATCCTGGAGTAGGTAGATAGGAGACTCGGTGGAATCCTATTTTCTTTTCATTAGCTGGAAAATGGAAATTTAGAAAGTTTAGAAACTTGACCCAACTGAAAGAAGTAAGAAATGGCGGACCTTGAAAATGACTTCAGGGTTTGTTTCGCACATGTGGGATACATATAAAGCTCTCGCTGTCGCCAATCGCACGTGTGTGTTTCGATCTGTCATTGTCTAGTGTGAGTTTGGTTGACACTTCTATTATAGAGAAAGGGCGAATAGCGATATTAAAATATTTCTTCTAATTAATTTTCTTTCAGTGTGCACGAATCCGTGCACCGGGACACCAGTGAGAACATACGATCCTCCAAGGCAGAGGGTTTTGTCTGTTTTGTTTGTTGCTGACTTCTAGCTTCTAGAACAGTGCCTGGCATATAGCAGGCATGCAACACATCTTGGTTGCCTGAGTGAATGAATGAGGGAGGAAGGCAGTCATGCCGAGCGTACAGTACAGGAAGTGATAATATGAAATGTGGGCAGGGACTAGTGACCGGCTCACCTTGACTGGACATGGGCTCCGGGCAGTGGGACAGGCCCAGGAGGAGGCTGTCAGTGCTGTGGGTCTTGGTTTGGATTAGCAGAGGGGAGCTGTGGGAGGCTTGTGAGGAGGGTGCCAGGATCAGGGCTGAGGAGGATTCATGGAGGGGTGAGGAAGAGCACGGACTGACTGGGGCCTCGACAGTCAGGAGGGTTTGTATTCAGGATCTGAGAAGTACTGCCGTGGTCTGAAGAAGGCACACAGCCCCTAGGGTTTGTACTTGACTTTGAAAGAAGGCGGCGCAGAATGTCAGTGTCCCAGCCTGAAGGGCTCCAGCCTGCAGCACCTGCACCTAAAGGTCCCACCTGAAGGCTGCCCTAGACAGGTGCAGCCCCCAAGCAGGCGTGTGTTAGCAGAGGCCTGTGCAGGTGGCCGGGGTGGAGGGAGGTGAGACAGCGCCCCCAGGGCCAGGCATCTGAAGGCATCTTGCTTAAAGTACTTCACAGGTTGGAGAGTTAGTGCACAGACAGATGTACTCTTTTTTTTTTCTTTCTTTTTTTATTTATTCATTTTTTATTGTTGACAGTATTACAGAGGCCCCCTTTCCCTCTCATTGTCCCCCTGCCCCCAATCCCTGCCTCACCTAGGCCTTCACTGCACCATTGTATGTGTCCACGGGCTATACATATATGCATGTAAGTTCTTTAAGCTAATCTCCCCCCTCCCCCTTGTCTCTGAGATGTGTCAGTCTGTTCCATGCATCCATGTCTCTGGATCTATTTTGTTCATTAGATTCCACATATACATGAGATCATGTGATATTTGTGCTTCTCTGACTGGCTTATTTCACTTAGCATAATACTCTCCAGGTCAATCCATGTTGCTACAAAGGGTAAGAAATTCTGCCTTTTTACTGCTGCAAAGTATTCCGTGGTATAAATGTACCATGGCATTTTTATCCACTTATCTGCTGATGGGCACTTGGGCTGTTTCCAGATCTTAAATATTGTAAATTGCGCTGCTATGAACATAGGGGTGCGCGTATAGTCTTTCTAGTTGAGTTTTGGGACTCATAGGATATCTTTCCAGAAGTGGGATTGCTGGGTCAAACTGTGGTTCCTTATTTAATTTTTGGGCAACTCCATACTGTTTTCCACAGTGGCTACAGCAGTCTGCATTCCCCTCAGCAGCAGATGTACTCTTTCAGATAAAAAAGTCATGCAGGCGCCCCTGTGCCCGTTCAGCAGCTTCCTCCTGAGGCTGGAGTGCTCAGCCCACCACTGACTGGGGCTGGACACAGCCCCACCGCTCAGGCCACCCAGTAGGTGGGACCCACCACCAACCGAAGAAATAAGTTTGAAAGAAAATAGTTTCTAAAAAAAAAAAGTGTTTTTTTTCTTAAATCACACTTTTCTTTTTAAACAAAGAAACTCTTTTTACAAAAATATTTTGGAAAGAGAGAAAAGTTATCCATAAAGAAGTGGACAGCCCTCGCCGTTTTGGCTCAGTGGATAGAGTGTCGGCTTGTGGACCAAAGGGTCCTAGGTTCAATTCCGGTCAAGGGCACATTCCTTGGTTGCAGGCTCCTCCCTGGCCCGGGCCCTGGTCGGGGCTCAGGTAGGAGGCAACCAGTCGATGTATTTCTCTCACATCGATGTTTCTCTCTGTGTTTCCTTCTCTCTTCTACTCTCCCTAAAAATCAATGGAAAAATATCCTTGGGTGAGGGTTAACAAAGAAAAACAAAAAGAAGTGGACACAGTGGTATTTTAGAAAAATACTAGCACACTTATGTTTGGGAAAATACGTGATGAATGAAAGAAAGCACTGGAAAGAGCTGTGGAGTTGGAATCTCTTGGCCACATGATCTCCGGATTCCCCAGCCCCTTCCGAGGGCCCTGTCCCTCGAAGGTGCCCTCCCTGCTTCTAGCCTGAAAAACCGAACATATCAGAAATTGCTCACCAAGGACGCCATCTGATTGAAGAGTTTGTTACAAATATCAGATTTTCTCCTGGGGCTGAGGCCAGCTGACATGGTCTGAAAATGCTGGGGGAGAAGCAATTCAAAGCATCGGTTGCTGTGACTGGTACTGGCGTGTTTCAGGTCTCTCCCAGGCTAATAATACGGGTAGAGGGATGTGCAGTGTTTGTTTCTACTCCCTTCTTACCAGCAATCCGACTGCTTCTGCCCCCCTACCCTGCTCCATTTGCACCAGCCATGCAGGCTTCAGGAACAGCTCTTTCCTGCTTCAGTTGTTCCCTCTGGCAGGTGTTGTGAGAGCCTCACCTGGACTCTGCAGGAGGAAGGGAGGGGACAGGCACTGGCTCCTCCCAGCTGGGTGGCTCCCTGCCCAGTGTCCTGGGCGCTGTCCCAGGTGCTGAACGCCTGGCTCTCCCTGGCCAACGCAGGAACCTGGAGGGCCCAGCCAGCCATTGGGCTTTTTCTGACTGGAAACTAATCGAAGGTGGAAACAGGAGGGACACAGATCTCGGCTTAAAACCAAGTCATGCTTCCCCTTTAAAATACGATAGAAAGCCCTGTTTTGTTGGAAAAGCAATACGTGATTATATGGGGGGCGGGGAAAGGAGGGAAATGAGGCAAGAGTTGGTGGAACTAGCCAAAGGTAAACTTAGTAATTTTTGATATTTTCTTTCCCCCCT